TACTGCACTTGTTTGGAATTATAGCTCTACCTGCTGCTGCTGGGTTATGAAAATAGTAGTGACCCTGACTGTGAATTTATGAAATCATACCTTTGTGAGTATACCCACTGAGGCTGAAAACTGGCACTGAGTACCAGGCGAAGATTAGGCCAGTAGTCTCTTACATTTCAGTAGTCATTAGCAGGAAATTATTTAATTTAAGCATTTGAAACAAGTACACCTAATTATGGATGTAGCACATAGCAACCTATTGCTAAGTTTGGCTTCCCTAGTAATATAACTCCTTTTCAGCCTATTTGTGAGACTGTCTTTTGGGGGGCTGGAATTTTCTGTGTTTTGTGTCCACCTTAGTTTGAAATACGACTAAAACTCTGACTACTAAATAACACATAGATAAATACACACAGCTGAAATAGATGGGAAATAAGAGAAATAAGTAGGTATTTGTAATGCCAGTCCTGACTACTGGATTTTTGTGTGCAATTTTGTCTCAAATGCATAACACCATGTAACCCCCCTGTCCTTCTCCATAAGAAATAAATAGTGTAGTAATGCTTAATTCATGAAGGGAAGTGTCCTCAGGAAGTATAACATTTTCTAGAGCTACTTTCTTTCATCCTCATTTATCTACAGATGCCCTTTTCAGTCCACAGGTATTATTTATGTGATTTACTATTCCTTATTCACACTGTGGCAGTGAAGCCCCAGTCAAGTGCTGTTTAATAGGCAAGATAGAGAACAGCTTTCCTCAGGACACAGCCAGTTTGCAATTAGGAGGAATATTTGGACTAGGAATTTGGTAATTATCCCCATATTCTTATCTTCTGACTGTGGAACTGCACCACACATAGCTGTTTTATGGTTCCAGAAGCCACATCTATGCTAAGGTTTATTGTAGTGTGGGTAGGCTCTGTTCCAACACATGCAGCTTCAGCAGGTAAATTGACCAAATTGTGCATAGTTATTCATGCTAGCACATATGTATGGCTGTATAATTAAATTATCACTGCTGACCTCAGGTCCTTGTACCTGCTAAAGTCCACCTTTAGATCTACATGTAACATATTCATGTGCTTTGATCCCATCTCTATTGTTTTGGTTATATTAATCTACATTAGCAAGTGATTCAGCACATTACCTCATGGGCCAAAGTGGCTAATGCTGAGCCCTCTGTATTAGACTAAACCTGGTTCAGAGGTTTACATCAGACTCAATCTAATTTGGTTAGTTGGACCAAAGATCTCCACTATGCATGTGTTTCAACTGTATGAAGATCTAGTGCTTGTCTCAGTTCCTTACAGGCTATAGAGTCTTTTGGGTGTACTTGGAACATGGCTTCGGGTCTGGTTTAATTTCCTCTCAAAGAAATCTGGTTTGCACACCTTAAATTTGCTCTGTGATCCAAACTGGTGTGTAGTAAGTGCAGACAATCGAGGGTTTCACTTAAAAAAGGATTTCCTGCTCTGAATTTAAGTGCTAATTCAAGTGTGGCAGCTGACAGGTGTTGAGTTGCTGCTTATTTAAACATGTCCTATCTGTAACTGATTGTGTGAGTGCTTCTGGATAGGGTCCGAATGAAGTCAAACTGCAGCTTAATGTGGTTTTATTCACCCTTTTGACTGCCTTGATTTGAGTAAGCTGGACTTCAACAACTGGCCACAACTCAGAGACAGTTTAAGAAAGCAATACTGGCTATCTTTCAAGCATTAGTCACTGGTTCCTGGATTGGACACAGCACTTTAAGAGTAACCACGTGAATGAGTGTAGTATGTGCTCATGTTATCTGCCATGCACAAAAATTTACATGCGCTAAATGAGTGTTTTGCAGATGACATTAGCATGCCAGTTTAAGTGCATTACCTCATAGATATGATCCACACCTATTGCATCATATATCATAAAGTCCCATGACCAAAAACATCAGTCTTTTTGACCTATCCTGTACAATTTTAGTTGTCCTTTGCTGGCTTAGGCAAGTGCTGAACTGATTTATATGCTGATGTAAGACATGGTAACATCTTGCTAGTGCAGGCTCAGGGTCGTACTGATCATGCAGAATAACTGATATTCAATTCCAATTCTTTTTCTATTAGGCAAATTAATAAACTTCAAGGAAAAAGAATATATGGGTAATTAGTTTTTCTTCTCAAATAGCTAGTTCAACTTTCTTAATATAACTACTGTGATCTAAATTTTCATATGAATCTTCTTCCTTTTGTTGTTGTTGTTGTTGTTGTTGTTGTTGTTGTAAAGGGGGAGCAACTAGAGACCAGGGAGGAAAAAAATGGTATGTTCAGTTGAAGGTGTCTACTCTCCCATCAGCTTATGCTCACTGAATATCCTGTTTTATGAATGGGTGTGGTCTATATGAACGAGACAGAGCTTTTTTATTATAACAGTTCAACTTGAACTGACTTATTTGCTTGCTTTTAAAATGAAAAATCGGCTTGGTATTTGGGGGCATGTCTGAAATGCCTAAATTCAGGCTTGAATTTCACCAATTCAGTGACTAACACAAAGGGACAAAACACTATCAGTTACCTTATAGTCTGCCTTTGGCTTTGCAATTTGAACAGCATATCTGGCTACAACTATCTCCTAGAATTAATTATTTCTACTAGATTCCTTTCTCAGCCTGGTTGTATGTGCAGTAGCAGTGCCAATAGCAGTGAAAGATGGATGAACACCCACAGTTGGGTACAGAAAGCATCTGATGGTCAATACCATGGAGGTGCCAGGATACTGCTGTACTGTAAAATATGTATTAGAATAGGTAAGCATGACTAATGCATATGCATTTGAGCAACTCACAAAGAGCTGGTTTTGTCTAAGAATAGGAGAACTTTACCTCCAATACACACAATCTGTGCTGCAGTGAATGTATCAGAAACCCATTTGTGACTGAAAAGGGTTCCATGTTCTTATGAAGATAAATAATGCCTGCAACACTCCTCCAGTGTGTAGTCAATATGATGCCACCTGCGTGTAGTGGAAGTGTTTTCACACATCCCTCAAACTCCTCAGAGCTCCTCGTGGAAAAACTGCTGCTCAGGGACGTGAGGTAGTTCTGGGTACTCTCTGGGGAGTGCTGAAAACTGTAGCGTATGGATTACATTTACTTGTGTGGTCTTTTTCCTGTGTCTTATAAAACTTCATAAACAGTCAGATACTCTGTCATAAAAGTGTTCTTAATGATTAAAAATGCTGACATTAAATGTAAAAGAATAATAAATGCTTATTGGGTCAGCTTTTCTTGGATCTTGGCACACTGGCATAGAGTAGGGGCATGCGCTAGCGTGGGTGTCATTGCACCACCGTAAAACAGTGGTCAAGTTAGCATATCTAGTAGATCCTGGTTATCAGAAGTGGGGAATCTCACTTCTCCATTTCAGTAGACCTTGTCTATGTCCTTTAGCTACAGAACAGTGAACTACTATGTTTTTTTAAGTAAGTGGCAGCAGATTCAGGTTCTGTTTGATCTTCTTCACCAGAGATAATGTTTAACTTGGGTAGTAGCAAAAAACCGTTTTAAAGAATAGTGGCAAATAAATTAACACAGATGAAAGAGACCGGTTTGCAAAGGCAAAAGCAGCTACAACTTTATTATTTTTCAGCATTGCTTTTCTAATAGAAAAAAAAAACACAGGAAGAAACAATTGCTTTTGGGTTGGGTTATATGAAAAGAGACTGAATCTACATTCCCTTCAGTCTTGAATAACCAAAGAACATTTTATAAATTTTTAATTGTTTTAATTCTTTATGGAATAACAACATTTTTGTGATAGCATGTTTTTTTGGTGTTTTTTTTTTTTTTTTTTCTGTGGGAGAATGTCACTATGTAAAAGTAAAAACATTCTGTAAATTGTGCGTTTTAATGAAATGTTGTTTTAAAAGGATAAAAAAACATTTATGTGAGGTCAAAATTTTAGTTTTGTTTTGAAATTTATTAAATGTATTCCCATCTACTTCTTCAGTGTAAACAAAGATGCAAGGTAAAATTCCATCTGGCTCAATATTGTTAAAGAAAAATAGTTTTTTAGACTTATGACTCTCCTCTTGCTTATCAAATAAACTAATTGAAGAGATAACAAATAAATGTTTTCACCCAAAATATATGGTATTTAGATACACAGACATATAGGTAAACAGAGCACACTATTATTATCCTGTGTTTAGTTGTTTGTTCTTGTATTTCACCTGACCTAGAAGAAGATGGAATGCATCCAGTGTTTGGATTAGTGCACACCAGGTATGGCAAGTGATACCTTGCAAAGCATTCCTGTGCTGTTATGATGAACTGATTCACTGCCTTCTATTTCAAACTCTCTTTCATACTTGCTTGCTCTGACATTTCTCACACTGGTTCATAATAACCTCAGCAGTCTTTTCTTACCTACCCCATGAAAGTAAAAAACCTTTCCTCTGTTCATTTAATGATTAAGATCTGTAAATTTTCTTATATATTGATCATAAAAGCTCATTCTTTTTTTTCCTGATTCCATTAAAGAATATATTTCTGCTTCTGTCCAGCTGATCAGGCTAATCCTTAACTCACTTCACTGTGACTCATCAGGACAGGCAGAAAAGTTTATATCTGCATTAAGCCAGACTCTGTGAGCTCTGTAAAAGGAAATGTGCAATTTTGCATGCAGCAGACTGAATGTATTATTCCTATTAAACAAGTGATCCTCTTTCCTAGATATATGTTGCTGTCACTTGGAAATGCAGAGTTACATAAGAAAGTCCTGCCACATCACAGTAATAATACATCATGGAGGATTAAAGGTGTCTGCTTCTGAACATCTATCCCTTTGCATTTTTTCCAAGATTATGTACTGTGGCCTTATTCTTGCACTGAATTTCAGTAGGAATTTATTAGTAGCTCTAGTCAATAATCTGGAAAAGGGACAGATTCTGACCTTTTGCTTGTTCAATAGTGTAGGTACTGAATGTAGAAGGTCAGAGTCAGGCCCAATGCTTTCTGTGTTTTCACAGTAACTTTAAGCAACTTTTTTATCTGGTGAGAGAAAAGCCTCGATAGACAGCACCGTCATCTGTCCTTTCTGCGTTTTCATGTGCGCCTAGATCTGCCTTGCTCGGCCTTCCAGACGCATAGACCATTCGTGGTGGAGTCTGAAAAGAGAGGACAAACACTTAACAGGTACTGAGCCAAATCCTTCACATGTATCCAGGCTTTTCAGCAGGGTCGAAGCTTTTCTCTCTTTCATCACCATAGCACTTGTCCAGTATTTATTTACTGTCTACACATCTCTCTAGCTTGCCAGACTGGGAATGCAGGGGAGAAAGGGATAGTGCTGATAGTATCAGTGGTTGACATTGCTGGATTCTTAATGAGTCAAACAGCTGCTGAAATACCGTCAGTGTGAAGAGCTCTGGTTTTTCCTCTGGGGTATTCTCAAAGCCACACAGAAGTAGTGTCTATCCAGTAAGGTCATTCAATGTATAAATTTAAAAAAAAACAATTACACCCCCTGACCCCCCAAGTTTACTGTAAAATGCTGTGGAGAAGAGACAGCAGAGCTTTAGATATGTCCATTTGGGTTTACTCCGAAGAAAAAAAGGGGAAAAAAGGAACCATTTTGAACCCAAAATTTCTGCAAGCTTTGCATGTGTTTAATTAAAGGAATTGATGTCACATGCAAGAGGAGCCACATAGCTTCAACACACAAGCATAGTACAGAAGAAGAGAAAATCACTAGGGACCACTTCAAGATTTTGTTGGCCGTGTCATTTTCCAAAGGAAATGTTGTTATGGAATGCCTGACCTAGCAATGCTGTAGGATTAGATATCATATGGTAAAGTCAAATGCATCATGAAATATATGGGGTTCTATATTACATTTGGTGTATTAAAAAGAACAGCAGCCAATGATTTCATCTGAGAATAACTGAGCAGTAGCTGCTTCACATGGATGCTTGTATTAATTTGGCTTCTGATTTTGATTTTAGCTTGAATTTTAAACTTTTCTTGTTTGGTCTTCTCTGTCTTGGATACACTATTCTCTTGTGCATATAGTTAGTAAAAATTAGCCATTTAAAACACTTGTGTTCCTTGTCAACACTAGTCCTAGGTGTCACAGAGGGAACACTTGCCTATACTTAGAGCCATCTAATTACATGAGGTAGTGGACCTGTAGATTTTGTAATGACAGTGTCTATTACCTCTGGAAAGTGTCTTTTTTCCAAATTAGAGAATACTTTGTGAACAATTTGGGCTTTGGTCAAGTGACCTTGAATGAACTTGTTTGGGTATATTTCAGTCATGACCAGTCAGTTAGTCAAGACCTATTGAATATGTAAGTTAAGACATATTCAAAGTTCTTTTGCTGCCTTTTTTTTTTGTCTTTTCTATTCAGAGAAGATCTTATAAAAGCTTTTAACATTTTTAACTTTGTGAAGTATTATCTACATCCCAAATTGCAATTGGTTTGTGATGTTTTCTTGTAGTAGTTTTTGTGAAGCTATAGTAACACAGGTTTCCAGTGAAGCTGAACACTTCCCTGAGTTTTATTACACATTTTTTTCTCCATCAACTTGGTGATTTGGGTTTGGAAATATTAGTGACTAGCTGGAGTAGCATACTGGGAGCAGGACTGTCTAGATCTGACTCTGTTGGACACGAGGCCTGCCCAGATCTAGATTTCCTCATCTTTATTGAGGATAGTAGTTTTCTCTTTGGGTACTAGGGTCAGAGTACCTGGAATTGTTTTTAAAGAAACAGCCCTTTACCAGTACATTCAAGTCTGTTGAAGTCAAACTAATTTATATGAATGCCCCAGTTTTGAGGAAAGTTTATGCAGGAAAACCTTTGTTAACTTTGGGATGAAAGCCCATCAGAAAACCACAAGAGGTACAGGTATTTCTTATCCTCTTTCTCCACCTGTTATTAGTAAGAGGATTCACTTAATGTGTGGGAGATCCTGGTTCAGACTCCTAAGATGCAACAAGTTGAGCAAGTATTTGAAGCAGTCTAGCACACTTGTGTGGACTATCTGTAGCAGTCACAGCTCTTTCTGGATGGTGCCTATTGTTTTATACTCTTTTGTAAAAAAAAATTTAAATCAATTTGGATAGCCTTATTTTTTTTTGTCTGTATAGCAGGAATGATTACAAAATCTTTCATGGGACAAGAAAATCTTATTGTACCATTTCTCTCTTTGGGCTTATATGATGCGAAGGGCTGTTAAACATGATAAAGATACTATGGATTTGTTTACACTACATGCTAAATTGGTGGTTTGCCTGTCCCTTTAATGTAATACTGGTTAATTTATTTGCTGTACCAGTTCCAGGCAAAAATCCTGATATTTTCTGGCTGTGACAAGCCATAGTGCCAAAGTGCTTTATTTTTATGTGGCTCTGCTTCAAGGCCTTTGAAGAATGCTCATGAGGTTCAGGGGTGAGGGGTATCCGAGTTTCCATGCAGAACAGCCATGGAAATATGAGACAAGCAGCTGCGAGAGGAAAAGTGCCAAAGATCCAGAACACAATCTGTGCTATGAATAAAGCAGTACAATAACAGGTTACCTTATTTTAAAGCATGTGATAATATGCTTCGCTGTCTTGTGCAAAAGGAATAATGCCACTTACTTGTTCAGGGTGCTTTTGCATAACCTAGACTCTTCATCTTCTTGTTGCTTAGTTTGCTCTTGGATTACTTTTTCCCAGCAGTTCTTCAGGTCTTCTGCATCATGACTACCCATCTTGTGGAATCTAAAGTCGGTATGCTTGCTCATTTTCTGAAAAGCAATTTGGAGGTCAAAGCAGTCAGGAGCCTAACCTGAGACAGATACTGTATTGCTTAGCTCCTTGCAATTTTCATGAAGTGTTATTAAAAAAAAGTATGTCATCTGAGAAGAATAGGTAATCGATGCTTATTCTTCCTTGAAGCAAAATACAAGGCATTGAAACAGGCCTCAAGTGATAGTTGAATGGTGTAGCTATATTTTTGTTACTGAGTAATGACTGCACGTGACACAGTTCACTGAAATATTGTGGAGGCCTCAGTATGTGTGAGATTTTAAGTGGTTTTGGAAAACCTTGGGAAAAAAACTTTCAAATAAAGTGCCATTATCACCGAAATTCAGATGAGATGTTGTGAAGGGCTTTCCCTTTTTCTGCTTCCTGTAGTTTTAGAAGAGATGGTTGTTATCCAAATGAAATACGTTGCTCTTAAATTATTCCATTTACTACTCTAAACGATATCAAGCACAAAATATGCAGGGGAATTATGAATCTGAAGTTGAAGCACACAGAGTGCAAAGCCCTGGGGAACTTGTTATGACCTTGTTCTTTAATTTATCAAAATTCAGTGTTAAATACTGTTAAAAGTAGAACTTGTTAAAATATAAAGATGTGTTCTAACAAATGAGAAAAAGGACAGAAATTAGGTGAATTTATCTTTGCTAAATACATAGTATTCAAACATGGAGGGTTTTTAAATTCTCAGCATGTCTGAGGTGCTTGATAATATTACCAAATACACATTGGTTATCAGAGCTTAATGGTAGTTTGGAAAGTTAAGGTTTTTTGTTTATTCCCAAAGGAAATAGAAGAAAAATTGCATCATGTACTCTGTTTGTTGCTGGCCAAATATTGCTTTGCTATGACATTAAATAAGGTACCAACAACCCATTATACTTCTACCCCAACTGTGAAGCAGGATTTCCTGCATTAGTCTCCTTCACTAAGGCCCTCCAGTCAGTGGGAGGATGCAAAAAAGAAAAAAAAAAAATCAAACCCATGCTCATGAGTTTTCTATGACTAGATTAGCACATAATTTGAAGGTTCCTATGAAATCCCTTTGCTTCCTTATGTTCATCTATATTCTGTTATCACTAGATACTTTTGTCAAATGTGCACTTTATAATGCTGATGAATTAATGCCTGATATGTTCTTGTGAGTCTTCTTCATAGACAGTGTCATACTTTATGGGCTATACTAGACAAATGCTATGAAGACTATGCTAAAGTGGGCTAGTCTGAGGAAACCTGTGGTTTGTGCAATGCTATAAGTGGAAGATCAGAGGAAAAGGACAGTCAGATGCAACACAATGAAGGCACACTTGTGTAAGCTCTTCCTATCAAACACTGTATTTTAAACTCCTGAACTTTTAAAAGGACACATAAGTAAGATCTTGACATCTTTCTGGACTGAATATTTTAGATTTGACACCATTTACACAAACCTGTTTTTTAGAAAGATCAGTAATAACGAGTTATTTTGCCAAACCTCATATCAAGTCTGACTGGACTGAAAAGTTCAAAAAGAAAAAGAAAAAAAAGAAAAATCAAACAAAAAGAAAAATCTCTGCCACTTCCAGATGTAGTATTTTTCCACAGAGAAGTCCAGTTGCTTAAAGACTGGCACAGTCCAACTGGAGTAGTAAACGTGAACTGGCTAGTCCATGTAATATAATCTCCTATGTGAAGGAGTATCAGACATGCTTGAGTGGTTAGGATATTGGTCCTCTTCACAGTAAGGTCAGCAAGAGTGGCAATAGCATGAGAACAATCAGATATTTTCCTCTGAGCTAAACAGCAGTTTTCTAATGTTTTCCTTGCTGTAGACTGGGGATGCTGTAGATGTATGTCCTTGGTTTGGATGTGATAGAGTTAATTTTCACAAGAAGCTGGGAGGGGACATGGCCATGACAGCTAGACTGAAACAGCCAAGGGGATATCTGATGCTATATGATGTCATGCTCAGTATATAAACTGGGGGAGCTGGCCAGAGAATGGGAGGAATTGTGGCTCTGGAACAGGCTGAGCATTGGGTTCTGGGTGGTAAGCAACTGCATCACACATCACTTGCTTCATATACTATTTTATTACTATTATTGTTATTTCTTCTCTTCTTTTGTTGTCCTATTAAACTGTCCTTATCCCAACCCATGAGGGTTTTTTACCTTTTCCTTCTGATTCTCTACCCCATCCCACACAGAGAGGGGGGAGGAGTGAGCGAGTGGCCATGTAGTGTTTAGTTGCCAACTGGGCCTAAACTACAACAGTCCTTTTTGGCACCCAGTGTCGGGTATGCCGGGTTAAATTGACAGATCTGACCACAACATTTTAAAACCAATCTGTTATATGTATTATATTAGTTAAATAGTAGCTGGTCACAATGTTGGTTTATTTGTTCACATGGTGGTGTTATGTAAATTCTTATATGCAATATGTATTCCCTGTGGTGATGTTTATCACCTCTGACAAAGGAATCAGGACTACCATTCTGCTGTACTGGGTAATGTCTACTTATGATTATATCACTGGTCATGAGGTTAAGCTGGTGTTTGAAGGTGACATTGTTGTCATGCCCATACCTAGAGTGCCTTCTCTCAGAATTTATTAGTAATCACAGTCTATGGGGAAGGCAGTGAGGGGATACTTTCTCCTGCTCTTTTACGTCCTCTTCTGGTTGAGCTAGGTTAAGGTTCAGTTTCCCCAGCAGTGGGGAGTGGGCTTTAGCAGGGTTATTCAATACCATGTTGATGTCAAGTCCAGGCGCCCAAGCATGGGAACAGTTTCCTTTGTGGCTTTTGTCCCTGAGAACAGGCGCAAGGGGGCTGCTGTGTCCCTTGCGGAATATCTCTGTATATCTTTTGCCCTGTTTACTATTATTACTGTTTATTGTTGTTGTTCGGTTTATTATTTGTTACACTGTTGTATTAAATTTCTCCTTATCCCAACCCCGGGGTTTGTATCTGTACTGGGTCTGGCTGAACTGGAATTGGTTTTCCCCTACAGCAGCCCTCACAGTGCTGTGGTTTATGCTGGGAGCTGGCAGGGTGTTGGCAGCACCCTGGTGTTGTGGCTACTGCCGAGCAGTGCTTACACAGCACCAAGGCTCTTCCTGATATTTCCCCCAGTGGGACGGGGTGGGCAAGATCTTGGGAGGGGACACAGCCAGGACAGCTGACCTGAACCGACCAAAGGGATATTCCATACTATATGACGTTTGCTCAGTATAAAGCTGGGAGAAAGGAGGAAGGGGGTGGGGTCACCCTTGGTCCTCCGAGGCAACCACTACGCGTATTGGAGCCCTGCTCCTGAGAAGGCCCGACATCGCCTGTCCATGGGAAGTAGAGAATAAATCTGTTTGCTTTTGTTTCCGCGCACGGACTTTTGCTTTGCCTTGCTTATATTAAAACTGCTTTTGTTTCACCCACAAGGGTTAATTTATCTTCTTTCCCCTCTTTACCCTATTGAGAAAACAAGGGGAAAGGGG